ATATATATTAGAGTATACATAGTTACATATATAGTATATAGAATATATATAGTTTATAATGTTGTATAGAGTAAATATATCCAACTTTTATTGGTCAATTATCAGTTAAATAAAAATTTAATGTATCTTGTAGTTTGTGCTGTTTTCCTTGTTTAGTCTTATTAGGGTTTTAAAAATTTTGTTCATCTTTTGAATGATTAATCTTTTGGTTTTATTCTTTTTCTGTGTCTGTGTTTGTTTGAATAAGGATGGCCTGACATAGTCCATCTTTAAATATTTTATAAAAATGTACAAAATATACATCATATTTTAGTGCACTATTTGAAAGTATTAGAAGGACTGTTAAGTGTGACCTTTTTGAGGAAGTGTGTTACTGGGGGAGTGTGTCACTGGGGGAATGTGTCACTGGGGGTGTGTGTCACTGGGGGTGGGCTTTGAGGTTTCAAGAGCCATGCCCAGCCTAGAGTCTCTCTCTCACTCTGCTTATGATCAGGATGTTGTTTTCAGTTACTGCTTGCTCCAGTGCCTACCTGCACGCCACCATGCTCCCCACCATGATGATAATGGACTAAGCCTCTGAAACTGTAAGCAAGCCCCTAATTAAATGCTTTCTTTCATAGGAGTTGCCGTGGTCATGGTGTCTCTTTACAGCAATAGAATAGTGACTAGGACAGTGTCATTTGACTGTTTTTATATCTCATTCATCTGGGCTTGTCATTATTTCTCTCCTTGCTTCTTTTTTTTTTTTTTGATGACTAATGCAGGCATGACAACTAATATTTGCTTTTTCTTTTACTCTTTTTTTAAACTTTATTTCTTTTTTTTAAAGATTTATTTATTTATTATGTATACAGTGTTCTGTCTGCATGTATTTCTGTAGGTCAGAAGAGGGCACCAGATCTCATTACAGATGGTTGTGAGCCACCATGTGGTTGCTGGGAATCAAACTCAGGACCTCTGGAAGAGCAGCGAGTGCTCTTAACTTTTGACCCATCTCTTCAGCCCTTTTTCTTTTACTCTTATGGACATTTAGAGCTATAAATTTTTTGTGGGTACTGCTTTAAGTGAGTTCCATAAATTTTAGTTATTTTGTTTCCATTATTTATTTTCCAGTGTCCCTAATGATTTCTTTTTCCTTCCTTCCTTCCCTTTTTTTTTTTTTTTTGGTCTTTTGACAGTACTGGAGATCAAATCTCAAACCCAGGACCACACACATCCTAGAAGCACTCTTCCATGAAACCACATTCCCAACATAATCTACCAAGTTATTTAAAAGTATGCTGTTTATCTTTCCAAATATCTGGAGGGATTTTTCTTAATATATTGCTATTATTTTTGACTTAATTCTCTTGTGGTCAGGAAGCTGACTCTTAGGATTTTTTTTTTGGTTTTTACGAGACAGGGTTTCTCTGTATTGTTTTGGAGGCTATCGGTCCAGCCTGGCCTGGAACTCACAGAGATCTTCCTGCCTCTGTCTCCCGAGTGCTGGGATTGAAGGTGTGTGCCACCACCGCCCGGCAACTCTTAGGATTTTTATCTTTTAAAATGTACTAAGACTTACTTTATAGCCCAGTATATTGTTTATTTTGGTGAACATTCTATGTGCACCTGAAAAATAGTATGTTTTTTGAAGTTGTAAAGTGAGATGTCCCAAAATTGTCAATTAGAACAAGATTGCTGATAGTGTGCTCAACTGTTTTATGTTATCATCTAGTTTTTAAATTTAAAAATTTCTGTCTGTCTATCTATGCATCTATCTATCTTATGTGTGTTTTGTCTGCAAGAAATTATGTGCACCATGCACCATGTGTGTGCAGATGCCTGTGGAGGCAAGAAGAGGGATCTGAACCCCGGAACTGCAGTGACAGACAGTTGTGGGCCACCAGACGTGGGTGCTGGGTGCTGAACTCAGTTCTCTGGAAGAACAACCAGGGCTCTGAACAGCTGAGCCATCTCTAGCCGCTTTACCAGTTTCTGTTTGCTTTAATTTCCTAGTTCTATGTGATACTAAGAGGGAAATGTCAGAAGCCTCCAGTTTCGAATAGAGTTGTCTATTTCTCTATCTTAGTCAGTTTTGTGCTATGAACCTCAAAGGTTAGATATTAGGTACAGAGTTAGGATTTTATGGTTTCCCTCTGGATTCGCTCTTACGTCTTTATGAAAGCTCTTTCTTCACCTCAAAAATACTCTTTATCTTTTAGTTTATTTTGCCTTTTGAGGGTTCATTTTTGTTTGTTCATTTGTTTGTATTATCCAGCTGATATTTTTTTACCATATTGGGAAATTTTAAGTTACCTCTTTAAAATTTTTATTACATTTATTTATTTGTGGGTATGCATGCAGTCACACGTCTATACCATGGCATCCACATGGAGGTCAGAGGATAAGTTTCTGGAGTCTGTACTCTTATCTTAGCATGTGAGTTTCAGGGATCAAACTCAGGTCGTCTGGGTTGCAGTGTATCTCGAGTTCTAATAGGTCTTAATTACAAAAGCTGGGAGTCAGATATAGGGGAAAATGCTGAGAGATCAGAGAGATGAAGGAGCAAAACCACAGTCACACGTTACCTGGGCAGCTTCCCATCAGAAAAGAGAGGGAGTTCCCGCTTCCTCCCGCCTGTAATCTTTTCTCCACCCAACCATCTCACTTCCTGTCTCCACCCAGCCATCTCACTTCCTGTCTCCACCCAGCCATCTCACTTCCTGTCTCCACCCAGCCATCTCACTTCCTGTCTCCACCCAGCCATCTCACTTCCTGTCTGTCAGCTAGTGGCAAGCTCCACCCTCTGATCTCCAGACAGGCTTTATTTGTACAAACCAGACATCACCACATCGCAGCAAGCTCTTTTCTCATTGAGGCACTTCACCAGTCCTCATCCTCTGATAACTGTTCTTTCAGGATATTTTTCCTTCCCGTCCTCTCTGAGGACTCTTGGTTGGACTCTTCATAAATTCTCACAAGTCATGGGTTCTGCTCAGGAATCAGGGATGATTTTTTATCTCTGTTCCTCAGAGTGGGAATCTGTCTCTGCTTCATCAGTCCTTTCTTCTAATACCTCAAATGCGTTTTGAAGCCAATCTGGTAATTTTTCATCTACAGAGTTTTTGTTTAATTTTTTCCACTATTCCTATTTCTGTCCTGGAATTTCCCATCTGTTCTCTTATTGAAGTAATACTTTTCTTTAAGTTCTTCAACACACTTCTAACATTCTTTAAAATCCTTGTCTGTTGATTCTAATGTCTGGATCAACTTGGAATGGCTATTAGCTGTGTTTTATGTGAATAGATACTGTTTTTTTCTTTATTGCTTGATTGTATATCTAGTGATTTTAATATTTTGTTTATTTATTTGAGACAGGCTCTTTCTATGTAGCCCCGGCAATCTTGGAACTCTCTGTGTAGACAAGGCTGACCTTGAACTTGGAGATCCACTTATCTCGGTCTCCCTAATGATAGGATCAAAGGCACATATCACCACACTCAGCTGCTCATCTAATAATTTTATTTTTTACTGTATGCTGCACATCATGGATTATACATTTTTTTTTTTGGTTTTTACGAGACAGGGTTTCTCTGTATTGTTTCGGAGGCTATCGGTCCAGCCTGGCCTCGAACGCACAAAGATCCGCCTGCCTCTGCCTCCCGAGTGCTGGGATTAAAGGCGTGCACCACCACCGCCCGGCTGGATTATGCATTTTAAAACACTTGGATCATGTTTTCTTCCTTTAAAGAATTTAGTCCTAGCAGGCAGTGATTTGCTGTCATCTCTTTTGATCCTGTCAAGGCTTGGTTTTAGGCTTTTCCAGAACAGATTTGTATCAGCTATCCACTGCTGTGTAACAAATCACTCTAAAAATCAATACCTTAAAATGGTAACAAAAGTTAGTTGTTTTATCATTTTTGAGGACCCAGAATGTTAAAGTAACTTATCTCAGTAGTTTTCGGTTCAGGATCTCTCAGGATATTGCAATAAAGCTGTCACTGGGGGCTGCAGTCATATAAGGCTCATCTATGACCAAGGTTGTAGAATATGCCTGCAAGCTTACTCACATGCTTACTGGATGGCTAATGCAGGCTGTAACCCAGGGACCGCTCTTCTCCAGATGGAGCTTCTTCATGGGGCCATGAGCATATGGGGGGCTATATAAGGGTACAGTGGTAGGAGAGGATCACCACTGGGGACATTTAAAGGATGGCTACCATCTGCCACAAGAATACAGTAAGTAGTCCTGGCTTTGGGTGGGATTTCTCAACCCTGACACTATTGATACACTGTACGCTGGGGCTGCATCCACAATGGTGTAGCCTGTCCAAATGCACTGTGGGGTGCTTGGTCGCATCTCTAGTCTCAAACCACTAGATGGCAGTAGTATGCTCCATCGTGACAGTCAACAATGTCTCTAGGGATTGCTAAAAGGCCTGAGGAAGATGGCCCCTCTCCATACCCGCACTCACACCCCCAAGTTGAGAACTATGTCTCTCTGACATGAATCTCAGCTTAACACTTCAGAGATGTCCTTGGACTGCTTTGTGGCTCAAGAGATAAAAGGTTCGTGCTCAAGCCCAAGGACCCGACTTGGAGTCCTACCACCCAGGTAAAAATGAAACGCAGCAGTAGGTTTCTGTAATCCCAGCACTACTACAGCAGGAATGGAAGGAAGAGGCTGGTGAGTCGTCTAGAAGCTCATGGATTACCTAGCCCGGTGTCCAAGGGCATCAACAGAAATAAGAGCGACTCCACTCCAACAAAGTGGAAGACGAGAACTGACCTCTACACTTGTGAACACACACGCACACGCACATGTACACACACACACGCACATGTTCATGCACACACCACTCTGCTTTGGTCAGACCTCTGGGTTTTCTAGTGTTGTGTGTGTGACATCACACACACACACACACACACACACACACACACACACACACACACAGAAAGACCTCTCCACTCTGCTTTGGTCAGACCACCAGGGTTTCCTAGAGCTGTGTGTGTGTGACATGTAGCGTTTCAATTTGACTTTTATTCACGTATTAACTGTTCTTTACTGTGAATTCACCATCCGCCACGCAGTCAGTTCAGTTCTCAGCCCAAACTCTGCTGTTCGTTTCCACACGGTTCTCCCCCCCCACCCCAGACTGTGCTTGTGCTGCTGGCGTTCCTGCTCATGCCCTTCCTGCTATCGGTGTTGCTCTGTACGTCCACTGTTCTACCCGTGTCTCTTGTACAGAGGACGGGCACAGCGAATGGATGGTGTGAGTTTTCTCATGTAAGTCTGATCTCTCTTGTGTGTCTCACCCACATTTGAGGCAACAGGTTCTTCTGAAACTTAGGGTTGAGGAACAGATGAGACCCGAGGAAGAAAGTCAGCCCCTCTGTCATCTGTCATGTCCATAAATAAAGTTTGAAGATTGCTGCACGCCATGCTGGGGTTAACCACATGGCCACCCCAAGGCAGGGGTTCACTCTGGTGTGGTTGTCTGAAACAAGTCAGATGTCTCCCCACAGGCTCTGGCAGTGCTGAGTGGCCAGAAGGAAAATCAAAGAGAAGGACATTGATTCATACAAGCCAGATCCTTTTGATTTGTCTCAGAATCTCTGTCTGGGATTGAGTAAAAAAGACAGCCTCCAGCCAAGGGGACCCTGTGTGTATCACCAAGTGAGCAGTTAGGGCAGGAAGAATCATTACCTGTGCATAAGTGGGACTTGCAAGTTCAAATGCCCAGAGGTGCCCAGTGTGCAACAGCAATGAATCAGGACAGATGTGGACCATCTGGCGGGGTCTGTGGTCACTGGATTGCACAGTCCCTGCTTAGGAAGTCCACTTCAACAAGTTCAAGACATGAATGCTGGGGATGTAACTCAATGATAGAATGCTTGTCTAGCAGGACTGCAAAAAGTTTTTAAAAATATGTAACCAGTCAAGAGTCCCATCTGAGTTTTCTGTAAATTGGGTTATTAGTTGACCAATTGGATCTCAAATTCTTGGTTAAATGAGTGTCACCATAATTAGCGGTGATGGGCTTTTGCCTCAATAGACCTATCATGAGTTGAAAATATCCTGAAGCCCCAAATGCATTTATTTTGTACACCTAGTCCACTGAATAACACAGACCTGCATTAGTCCCAAGTGAACACGCAAGGTGCTATATTAATTATGAAGCTGTTGGCTGTTTGCTATAGTTTCTTGTTGGCTATCTCTGACTTAATTATTAACCCATAACTGCTAATATGAGTATTTCCATGTGGTCTTCTCTTACTGGAGAAAGGGTCTGGACCTCTTATTCATCTCGTGTCCTACATGGTGACTGACTGTGCCTCCATATCCCAGAATCCTCCACTTCTCCTAGTCCCACCTATCTTGTTTCCCTATTGGCCAACAGTGCTTTATTTATCAACCAATAGGACAACATATACACAGAAGGACTTTCCCCATCAGTGCACTATGCCTTAAACACACTCATTTACATTAGCTTATACTTAGGCAAAAATGCCAAACATGCAACCTGCTGTATAATAAAATGTTGAATATACTCCCTTGGGGAAAAAAAAACCTGCTGGCCACCTAGTTTACTGTCCAACTCTTTGACATGGCGGCATGACACCGTTATCTACAAATATTTTGATTGCAGTCACAGTTACCTGGGTCACATGTGTCCTGCAGGTTTCAACCTAGACACATCAGCATATAGAGTGTAGGTTTCCTCCACGTGATCATGAGCTTAGAGTTGCAGCTCTCTGCCACTTTTCAGTATTGGGAGAGAATACACTTTGCTAGCCTGGGAAAAGATCCAAATTCAAAATGTAAAGTACGGGTTCTACTGACTTCGTATTGTTTTAGCATCACCACAAAGGAAAAAAAAACCTCCGAAGTTGAGCCACTATGGGTTGGAGGCAGTCTGCATGTCCCCTTTAAGGATGAAGTTCTGAACTCTGTGGGAGGTAATGACCTTGCTGGTGTGGTGAAGCAAGCTGTTACTGGCTTTGAACTCAGGCTGCCCGTCCTCAGAGCATGTGCCCCAATGCTGTGATGCGGCAGGGAACCAGATAACAGCGAGGCGAAGGTGGCTTCATAAACAAACTGGGACACACCCAAAGTGAAAGGGACCACAGATGGGAAGTGTCGCGTTGCATAAACATGGAGGAGAAAGTGACCATGGATAGAGAGAAGGGACTGATGCACATCGGTTCTCTAGAAGAGCATTCAAAGCCAGCGAGAAAGGAGCTGTAAAAAGAAACTCTGACAGTCAACCAGTGTCTGGAGAACAGCTTCACTCTGTGAGCCATTAAAGAGTGGTGGACAACGTGCTATTCTCTCACAGCCATTATGAGAAGTGAAGTGCATTACAAAACATTTCGGTGTTGTTGAGGGCTCTGGGGGCAGACACATTTGAGTAAAGCTGACAGAAAGATGTTTCCTCCCTTGTCTGGAGGGGGTTCATCCCAAGACCCCAGAGGAGCCCTCAAACCAGGGACAGTATAAAGTTCCCTATACACTACATTTTTCTTACAACTTTCAGGCCTACAATAATGTTAAATTTATAAATTATACCTGGTAAGACAATAGTGATAACTAAAATAAAACAGAAATGTTATGATGCAGTGTAAAAAAAAAGTTGTCTAAAACTTTGGAACTGTTTGTTTCTAGGAGTTTCCATTTAGTAATTTTAACCTATAGTTGGATGAAAATAAGGAATACCACACACAACTGGGTGGGTGATGTTGTAGAACTCAGCCTCTGGGCATGCCATGGCTGAGGTTGCCTTGAAATTTGAGCATCTATGATTATGCACGTTGGACCGTCATGAGATTGGGTCCTCTAGCCATCTTTTGTAGACAGAGAGGAGGGTTCCTGGCCTCCTGAAAACAGTCAGCAGTGTCTGGGAGAAGGAGGTTGCCTGTCGGTTGTTCATGCTCCTGTGAGTGACCTCTCATTCACCATTCTGCAAGTAAACCCCCAAAACTCATTGCTTCATCAAACTAGACTTCAGTCTGCCAATGCATTCTCTCTCTGGGTGAATCGGAATAGATTCCCGAGAAGGACTCACACAATGGAGGAGTAAATAGCCCTCGCAATACAATTAAAAAAGTATGAGTTTGGCCGGCTGGTGGTGGCGCATGCCTTTGCCTTTAATCCCAGCACTCGGGAGGCAGAGGCAGGCAGATCTCTGTGAGTTCGAGGCTGGGCTGGACCGATAGCCTCCAAAACAATACAGAGAAACCCTGTTTCGTAAAAACAAAAAAAAGTATGAGTTTGGACCTGGCCTGGTCCTGGTATCTTGTAAGCCACACTCAGGCCTTACACAGACTCCATTCATTACCTGCTGTGTCCAGTTACACATAGTCCACTCACCTCCAAATGAGGCTGTCAGTCCCAGTACAGCTCAGCTGCCTCTCTTCAACTTCTCTCCTTAGCATCCGTCTCCCAGCCTGCCTGCCCTTGCCTGCCAGGGTGGCCTGGCCTCCTGTTCCTGGCCTTGGGAGATGGAAGCTGTCAATTCCACATGGGGACTTTAATGGTTCCCAAAGTTTCTCGCTGGACTTTTCTGACCGTGGATTTGATGACCCAAAGGATATGGTTTTTCTCTGCCAGGTCCCCAGCAAGGCTCGTCACCACCACTGAGTTGATAAAGAAACCAATGCTCCCACTCTGGGGGACATAAAGCAAATTTATGTCCTGATTTCCTGCAAATTTCATGGGCAGACTCCCCCACCTTGAGTGCCCTTGCCTCTCTTAGGCTAGGGGTCCCAAGATCTACTCCCTGCTGTTAAAGAACCCTAGCTCACAGTCATGGATCTTTACTGTCCAACCAGGTGCCACCATAGCCCTCCTACTCACCTCTGACCCATCCCCCCAGGGACCCTGCTGCTCCCTCCAGGCCTTCATGTACTTGTGAAAACTGAACGCCCCCATTCCCATGCCCTGTGAGATGAAACTTTTTAACCCGTTGGTCCAGCACCATGACCAGCCAGTACCATCCACAGCTCCCTCTGCCGCCCAAGCTTGGCGCTCACCACACATTGTGTCCTCAGTGTCCTGGGCTTCTGGTTTCCATATGCAAGCTCACTGTGCACAGACCTCCCTCTAAGTCTCCTTGTCCCTTTAGGGAGAGATGAGCAAGTCTGTGCAGGAAGCACCTGTGTCCTTAACCCTGAAGAACTCTAGAGGGAGGCGGCTCTCCAGGTAGTCCCTCTTCTCACAGTCTGTGTGCACAGGGTCCCCCTGGCCCACACTGGCTCCCATTTGTGAGTCAAAGCCTCATTCTCCGTGTCCCAGGCCTCGGTGTGGAAGTACTGGACTAGAGGTGGAGGGGGTGGTAGCCCCCACAATGGACCTCCTTGGAGGGGGAATCACTCATGGCATGACAATGACCACCTTCAAACTAGTGCATCCCAAACCCTTTTCTTCAACCCTCCTCCGTAACTATGTTGCCACGGGCTGGGAGGGGCTCTGTAGAACTGATGTGAGGACTGAGTAAGCATTTCTTTGCCAGTGACTAGGCATTCTCCCACCTAGATTCTGCCATTTGCTGTGGAGTCATGACTTGCCTAAGGTCTGCCCTCAGAAGCTCCAGGTCACTGCCACCCGTGCTGTGTCTCCAGTGAGCCCCGGGTCTTCAACATCAATAGTGTGTGAAATGTCAGCTGGCAGGGAGACGGCCTCCTCCTCGGCACCCTCCCCCTTCTCCTTCTGCCCATCTTGGCTCCTCCCTCTCTGCACCCCCCCCCCGACTTGGCTCCTCCCCCTTTGCACTGCCACCACAGCGGGAGGCAATGCCTTTACCCACCTCGGGATGGCCTCCACCACCACACAGTCCCCGACACTTGAGAGGCTATGGACGCTTAAAGGCACTGGCTGCCCACAAAGGACCCTTAATTGGGATGCTTCCTCGGACCATCTCTTGTTCCACATCCTGGTCCAGCTTCCAGTGTCCGGCGTCTCTTCTCTGCACACTCCTCACCAGCCTGCTAAGCGGATACAAATATTTTCCCAAACAATCACACCGGATCTAGAGTGTTCTTTCCCGGAACAATGGAGAATTGTGGTCAAATTTAGGACATGCAATCTGTCTTTCGAATTCCTGACCAGAATCCTCCCAGGGTGACACCAAACCTCAGACTGGCCCAGCTCTCCCCCGCCCCCTTCTCCAGCCTCTGCGGCTTCCTACCCCAGGAACTCAAAAGCCAGCTCCCTTCTCCAGCTTGGTCACATGCTGGAACACCTGCCCGCCTTGGCACAGGTGCCTCGCCAGAGCGGTACCCTGTGGGGCCGAGTGGTGTTTGTTCTCTTCTGAAGTTGCAGGCTGTTTTGTGGCGCGCCAGGCTCCTGTGGAAACATCGCCTTTGCTCTGCAGTGAAGGTCTCCCTCGGTTATGTAAACGGAAAGTGGGGCATTTTTGCGGTCTTGGGACAGAAGTATGAAGACGGCTTCTCCGAGTGACTTTAATCACCACCTTACCCTTGTGGGTACGCTTGGGCTCTGGACAGGAAGTGGGTGGCTCTGGGGGAAATGACTGTTCTGAAGGGAATCTTCCTACTTCCCACGAGCCTGCTTCTAGAGTTCCCTTCAGCCTTCGCAGAGGCAGCCCTGCTAGCCTGCTTGGGTTGTGGCCTGGTGGAGGCTATTTCCTGAGTGTGCACTATCTCCACTCCCTGCAGCCACAGAGGGTCTCTTTGCTTGGGGGTGGGGCACAGGCCAACCACAGCTCACACCTCCTCTTGCCTGTGCCTCTCCTGGGCTCAGAAGCCGGCTCTGCCATTGGGCTCAGCGGGGCTCCACCCCCTTTGCACCCTCCCCTAGCCGGGCCCCACCCCCTCTGCGCCCTCCCCCAGTCGGGCTCCACCCCTCTGCGCCCTCCCCCAGCCGGGCCCCACCCCCTCTGCGCCCTCCCCCAGTCGGGCTCCACCCCTCTGCACCCTCCCCCAGCCGGGCCCCACCCCCTCTGCGCCCTCCCCCAGCCGGGCCCCACCCCCTCTGCGCCCTGCCCCAGCCGGGCCCCACCCCCTCTGCGCCCTGCCCCAGCCGGGCCCCACCCCCTCTGCGCCCTGCCCCAGCCGGGCCCCACCCCCTCTGCTCCCTTCCCCAGCCGGGCCCCACCCCCTCTGCGCCCTCCCCTAGCCGGGCCCCACCCCCTCTGCTCCCTTCCCCAGCCGGGCCCCACCCCCTCTGCGCCCTCCCCTAGCCGGGCCCCACCCCCTCTGCGCCCTCCCCTAGCCGGGCCCCACCCCTCTGCGCCCTCCCCCAGCCGGGCCCCACCCCCTCTGCGCCCTCCTCCAGCTGGGCTCCTTCCACTTTGTACCCCCCACCCTTACACCCTCACAGGACAAGAAAGGGCTCACAGACTGGAAGGGGCCCAAGCGTCTGTATTTTTCTGGTACTTCCTGTTACAGCTTGCTAGTCTTCCCTGTGACACTGCCCATGGCACAGACTGCCGCTATCTGAGTGTAGTGGAAGTCAGTGGCCATCAGGTGGAGAAGGCTCTTACAATTAAACATGCCCATCATCCTGAGAAGCTCTCTCTAGAGAGTTCTTCCGTTTCCCAGAGGTTCTAGAGGCTTCTCAGCACTTCCGGGTTGCCTTGGTGGAACAGTTGAGTCAGCTGGCACCAGAGAAGAACCCGGAGTAGGGGGTTTCTGCCGCTTCTGTCTCCTTCTTGCCCCCAGCCCGGCCAACTGCCTGACTAGGATGTCTCCACAGCCTCTCTGTTCCTCCTTCAGCTCTGATGCCCTGTACTATCTCCTTGCTTCAAAGCACCAGCTGGGAGAGCTTGCAGTCCAAGGCGACCCAGGATGTTTGGGATAACTCTTCATGCCTCGCCACCCACAATGCCCTCCACGGCACCATTTTCGCTACGCTTTTCTCCCCGCTACTCTTTGCTCTGGCCTCTATGCCATGTTGCTTCTCCAGAACCTTCCCAGCTGTGGTTCCCTGAGCTGGGGACCCTCTCTTGAACTTCAGAGGTCTGTTTCTCATTATGTGGCTCAAACAGCATCTTTTTAGAGCAGCCCTTTGCGTGGCGCCTTATCCACCATCCACTCACTGTTCCCCAAGTCTGTGTGTGGTCCTAGACACTGCACACAGAAGTGGAAAAGGAGAACTGGCTGCCCCGGGAGGCCGCGGCTATTCTAGAAGCTGAATAGAAAACAGAAATAAATATAGCATGTTCACGGTGCTTGCAATGGGGGAGAAACGAAGGGGATGAGGAGAACAGAGTATGAGGGGGTGGTGGGAAGGAAGGAAGGTGGACACAGCCAGCCTCTTCATCTGTGGGGTGCACACCTGTGGGTCCAACCAACAACCATGGTCAACAGGATTATTTTGAGACAGGCTCTCGATGTGTAGCCCTGGCTGCCTGATACTTGCTATGTAGATGAGGCTGGCCTCAGACTCACAGAGCTCTGTCTGACTTTGCCTCCTGTATTCTGGAATTAAAGGCATGTGCCATCACACCCTGTAAGGTCAAAATACTTTGAAACATTGAACATGTGCAGACTTTTTCTTTACATCATTCCCTAAGGAACATAGGCATAGCATTTACATTGTTTCAGGTATTTTAAGTATTTATGTTTTTATGTGTCTATATAAAATCCAAGCTCCACAAACAAGAGAAAGCATGCAACATTTATCTCTCTGGTTTATTTTACTCTACACACTTATTTCCAGTTTCATCTGTTTTCCTACAGACAACATAATTTTGTTTTTTATGCCTGAAACTCAGTTGTGCATACAAGCCAGGTTTCTATATGCATTTACCTGTTGGCAGTCACCCAGGCTAGCCCAGGACTTGACTGCTAGGAATAGTGTCACAATAGGCAGGTGTGAAAGTGTCTATGGGGTGTGTTGCTTTAGAGGCCTTTGGATGTATTCCCAGGAGCAGTATAGCTGGATCTTGTGGTAATCCTATTTGCAGTTTTCTGAGGAGTCCCCATACTGATTTCCATACGGGATGGGCTAATTTACACTCTCACCAGCAGCGTATACAATTCTTTCCCTCCAGCCTCACCAGCATTTACTTGTTTTCTTGGTGATGGCTGCTCTGACTGGGGTGAGATAGAATCTCAATGTTGTTTTAATCTGCATTTAATGGACCGAGGAGGGTGTGGAGCATGTTTTCACATGTTCATGGGCCATTCACACGTTATCTTTCCAGAATATGTTTATTTTGTTAGTTCATTTGTCAATGGGAATTGTGTTGGTATGTACTTTTTTAGTTTTTTTAAATTTTTTTTAAAGATAACTTTTTTCTTGCGAGTTCATGTGCACCATGTGTGTGCAGTACCCCCAGAGGCCAGAAGAGGGCATCACATGCCTCTGGAGCTGGTGCTGGAAACCAAAGCATGTCCTCTACAAGAGCAGCAAATGTTCTCACCGTCTGGAACATCTTTTTCTTTATATACTCTAGCTATTAATTCTCTGTCAGATACAGACCCTGTAGCCTTCACTCAACTACTTGTTTCCCCTGCTCTGCCTTTTAATTTCATGCAACCTTATTTGTGGATTACTGTTTCATTTCCTAAACTACTGGAGAGTCCTTGTCTGTGCCCACGTCTAGAAGTGTTTTGCCATGTTTTCTGCCAACAATTTTAGAGTTTCAGGTCTTATGCTACAGAAGGCTTTGATCTATTTGGAGCTGATTTTTGCACAGGATGGAAAGGGAATCTACTTTAGCCTTCCTCAGGTGGAACAGATCCCCCTGCACCAAACGGTGTCTTTTCTCCATTTTAAGTTTATGGCATCTTTGTCAAAAATCACATAACTTCAGATGTGTGGATTTATGCTGGGATTTTCTATTCTGTCTGTGTGTCTCCTTTCATGCCAGGACCATGCTGCTTTTAGTGTTATGGCTCTGCAGTATAACTTGAAGGCAGGTGTGGTGATAACTCCAGCAGTGTTCTTTTTGCTCAGAGTGGCTTTGCCCGTTGGGAGTCTTTCATGCTTCTATATGAATTTCAGGATTAGTTTTTATATTTCTGTGAAGACTATCATTGGAATTTGGGGGGACGGAGCTGCACTGAACTTGCAGACTGCATTTAGTATTGATTCTGTCTAGTATGAATCTGTCAGGCTTCTGCTGTCTTCCTTGATTCATTTCTTCAGTGTTTCGAAGCATTCACTGAAGGGGTCTTTTGCTTTCTTAACTAGGTTTATTCCAAGGATTTTGTTTTAAAAATATTGCAAAAGGGATTTTCCCCATCTCTGATTTCTTGGACTTCACTCATAAGGAAGGATCTCTCATGGCCTAGCCACCTTTCAGAGGCCCCTCCCTTTAATAATATCCCATTAGACATTTAGCTCACACTTGACTAGAGAAATGACACTTCAAGACCTACGATTCATGTCTTTTTCATATACAAACTATGACCATCCCATCTTAATATTCCCTAAAACCCGACATCAGCTCGAACAAGAGTCCACAATACAGCCTCACCTAAATAGATGGGTGAGAGAAGCATGGAGCCACTCATCCCTCCAGTGGTGATGCAGGGAGCAAGTTTCCTCCAGCTGTGATTCTGTTGGGAAACAAGCTGTTGCCACACCCTGGATCAGTTTTCAAAGCCCCTTCCCAGTCAGCCTCTGGGCCCTATCCCAGGGCAGCTTCCTTCCTCTGAAGCTCCAAACCATAGCAGAGGTTTCACAGCCTCTTCTCCAGGAAGAGATGCCTCCCAAGCCTTCGGTCCAGTTAAAAAGCACCGGGGAAGGACGCAGATTGGTCTTATGAAAGCCATACATTTAATCCCACAGCAGGGGCTGGGTTGATGTGTTTGTTCATCCCTTTTCCTAGAAAAGCTGGGCAGAGAGGGAAAGGGGGGATAGGCAGGCAGATCCAGGATAGTAGATGAGTTGTCTCACTGCACCCCTGCACCCCTATGTACAGGCTCCCCAGCTATGGATGAGACCCTCCTCAGAGGGAAGAAAAGACAAAGAAAATGACTGATACCACAGCTTGGGCCACACTAGTATCCCTGACTCTTGATGCCAATGCTAACATCTGGTACCAAACGATGGCTGTGTACCTGTGGTAGGCAAAGTCCTGGGTCAGGGGCTTTAAACTGACAACCCTAAACAGATATGAACCATCCATGGGTCATTCCCACAGGAATGTCTGTTTGTCCCAAGTTTCTATACAGGGAAACTAAGGATCTATCCTTTTAAGAGACTGATGAGTCTGTCCAGCTCCAAGACCTGGTCTCTTGCCTCCAAAACATTGTTGGCTACAGACAAGAAAAACCAGGAGAAGAAGAATCTTCTAGAGGCATCGTGAGGAAAGAAAGGGAACCAAAGACACACATAAGAAAATGGAAAATAGATAAGGCAGGTGAAACAGCCTGACATTTCCCACAAGAAAAGCTGAGAGAAAACAGGAAAGGAAACCCAACTTCCAGTAAGTTTAAAAGTAGAGAAAGGTGCCAGGAGGTGGTGGTGCATGCCTCTCATCCCAGCACTCAAGAGGTAGAGGCAGGCAGATCTCTGAGTTCGAGACCAGCCTGGTCTACTGAGTGAGTTCCAAGATAGCCAGAGAAATCCTGTCTCAAAAAACAAACAAACAAAAACAGAGAAGGCAATAGCATTAGCCATCAGGACAAACAGACCCATCAAGAAGGGTTAGTAGGGACACAGCATCGTGGCCAGCAGGTTGGCAAGACTGGGGCTGGCCTCCAGTCTCCAGC